AGGCGATCATGGCGCTCCACAATTTTAGGTCCTTTGCAGCTCTTAATAAATTTTGTCTTTTCGTTATTTCTCCTTAACTCTGTTCTCCATCCATTTACTCAAATTCGTCAAATGAGTTGTTTTACTCTGTCCCTCTTGCCCTCAATCTATCCTGGGAATATCAGATTTTTTCTAAGCCTTTATTATGCGCCCCAGAAATTTCAGCTGTCTTTTCCTGATGTTAAGTATAAGTTTCCTTTTTGTTTTCATATTTTCTAAAATCTCGCCGTTGCTCACATGTTCGGTCTATGGTATCTTCAGCATTCTTCTGTAGAACCACATTTCTGTTGCTTCAAGTCAAGTTGTGCTAACTACCACCACCATTACATACAAGCAGTACATAGAAATCATGCGACAAGCATTCATTGGTTAATCTACTCGAAACTAGCTCGCTGATTGGTCAGTTCTGACCAATCAAACCGCCTGCACGCGACAAATCTGTTTTCCTGCTCAATATGTCCTGAGCCAGTCACGTGATAAACCATCTTATATAAACAAAACATGAGTGGTTCTCTCTCTTTTTTTCGTCACTCTTGCGTCTTAAATCCTTGCTGCCAAGATGTAATCTTCACGAGTTCCCGTCTTGACCATGCAATTGTAGTGCCACGCCTACATTTTCTCCAATTCTCATTGGTTAATAAATACATGATACTTATTATAGGACAATTTAACCATCGCAAGTAATTCAAATTTTTCTCTAAAATCACGGATTGGTCCATTTCCTGACCAATCGCGTATTTTAGTATCTTTTCTATATTTTTGGCGCTAAGCTATCCGGAGCCTACCCATCGTTATAAAAAGAATCTCGCTATCAACCAAAAGACCAGTAGCAGTTCAATTCTTGGAAAATAAGGCACGGCACTATATTGACATTTTAATTCTTAATTATTACTTATTCGAATAATCATACTAATTCCTGTTGATATCACTCATGAACATTACATCTTTCTTCACTGATAAAACACTGTGGAACTATTCTGTATTTAGCTAAGACTTCAATTGAACTTTGTAGTTAAATTACATTCAATTTTGTACTCAACATTTATTAGCTAAACTTACCCTTTTTTATTACGGAAAAAGGGAAGCAACTTTCTTTATACTTATTGTTGAAATTTGTATACCATTGCTAATACAATATATTATTAATGTTCACTGAGCTTGATTTTTTTCCTTGATGTTTAAATTTAATGTATGGATGTTGATTATCTTGAAACACGCAGCCGCATTTATATATTTGATCAACCCAACTACTAATCACACCATAACACAATCAGACGTTAAAGAACATTACCATTTCGCACAAGTACGAACTGTAAAATCTTTTCCTACTCTTACCAAGGTTTACAACTCACATTTCCTAACATGCTAAAGGAACTTTATTCTTCTAAACTACAGTTCAATAGTTAATTCACTTTATGAGCTCAGGTACAAATATTTCCAAATCTGAAAGACATAACTCTATCAAACCTTCAGCTTATATGCATGTACACCAAACTCCAAACACTAATAAATTCAATTGTTATGTTTTGAATTATTACATTCTGTTTTATGTGCTATTTTACGTCAAATATAAATTGCATTGTGCACGCCACATTGGATAATAACCTCCAGCGTCTTTGCTTTCCTTAATCACGCCTTTTCTAGACAAAAGATAAATATATGTAGTACACATCCCTACAGAATGGTGACAGGCCGCTACAAAGTCTCTTCATCTTTGTCCAGCATTCACTACTATATAAGAGAACATATATCACGTAACAGTTCAGTACGTGTTTCTTTATTTCTAACGGAGTTTTTCTCTCAGCTTATCTTTTGGAATGCATCTTTGACGATTTCACTGCGTTGTCGGATTTCCAGTGTTGGACTTTCCATCCTCTGTTAGAACACTTCCCAGGTATTTATTTTTGTGCTTGTTTATTGCTTTCTCCGATTTATAATTTGCATTTTTGGTTTATCCTTTTGATAACAACCATACATTTTGTCTTCTTGCAGTTTATGTTTAGTCCTTTCTTCTCGCTTTCCGTAGGTAGCTTTTTCTTTCCGTGCCTGTTATCAACACTGTGTCATCTGTATATATGTTATTAAGATTGTGGCCGCGAATAATGAATCCTAGTCGGATATCTAATTCTCTCAGAATTGTATCGATGTGTAGTGTGCATCACCACAATTATTTATTTTTGACTGGGAATGACGTGGATAAGGACAAGCAAAGACATTGGAGATTACCAAACATATAGCGGTCACAATGCAATTTATATTTGACGTAAAATAACACAATTGTTCCTGGTAGAGCGAAATGCTGCATGTGTTGAGTCAGAGAAATTTGCGCGGCAAAAATGTAGCTGGTTATGATTTTTACTGGCACTTCTCCAGGATGAAATTGTGACTGTCTGAATCGATCTGAAAGCCTCCTTTTATTTTGTTCTGGAAGTAGGAATCGGCTCCAAACGGCTAAGCGCGAAAAGATATTTTGCGTGAATTTGCTACAGTTTGAGTCAATGAAAAGTCCAGTTCATTGCAACTAGGGTGTTGATTGGTTAATAGGTAATTTTGTGGTAGAGTGTATTATTCCAGAGGGGTGAAAAGGTATGTATGGACTATTCCATCAAGCTCAAATTAGCCTCGCAATGAGTTGGGAAGACCAAAGCTACTTCATGAGTAGGTCTGCTAAAAAACACGTCCGAATGATCTCGTTGGTAAGTGGAAAAAAATTCAGTCGTCAATGGACCAGCGAAACTAACATTCCCCCGTGGGAACTCTTTTACTGCAGGGTTCACATTTTGAAGCCAAGAGGAAAAAGAGAGAAGATTAGTATACGGAAGTGGGGTCATAAAATTGCACAAGTGACCAGAAACCTTTTCCAATTTCTTTATAACTTATATTATGGAAAAAAGGAATATTTTTTATTTGTTATTATTATTTTATTTATTGGTTTTATTTAATTTCCCCACAATGCATTGTCCGTGGTATTTTAACATTTGTTCTTAGAACCACACTTGATGCATCTTTATATGGTGATTTTCTAAGCGTAGCTTAGATATGGAACAAGGCCGAAAGTATTAAGCACCCAGTGAGGATCGAACTCACTACTCAGTTGTAACTGACCTAGCGAGACAAGCTTGCCAAATATTACACTATGTCGAAGTGCTCAAGGTAAGTGAATTTTAAAAGCGTAGCTTAGATGTAGCAGAAGGCCGAAAGTATGGAGCACCCAGTGAGGGTCGAACTCACTACTCAGACGTAATTAACCTAGTGAGACAAGCTTGTTACACAACGTCGAAGTGCCCCAAGTATCTTCTTCATGTGTGAAGAAATTATTTAATATCCCTGCCATATTAGAAATTAAATATTGCATAGCAACTGAAATGACTTTACTTTCTGTAGACGTTTTAAATTTGTTAATTTGTTTACTTTCTAGAAAACATTTTTTGCTATTCCTATGGAGTCCATTTCATAACAGTGGATGTTATTTGTTCAAAACCTGGTTTCACCGAAACCGTTATTCACTTCGTCGAAATGGTTCAATTCACCGAAACATCCAAACATCTAAAATTAAAGGAGGATAATTTCTATCTGAATGTTGTTTTTTTTTTTTTTTAGTGATTAGCTACTTCAATAGTTAAATAAGTAATGTTTCTTACAGGAACATTTTATAGCACATGGAATAATCGTCGTGTAAAGAGTACATGCAGAAATAACAGACCAATTGATTTGCAATGTAAAGATAACATTTATTAAGACAAAATTAACAAAAGAAAAGTTTACGACGAGTTTCTTTTGTTAATTTAAATTGTGTACACAACGAGATGTTCATTAATAGTGGGAACTTTGTTCGTATGTTTTAGTGTGAAACATTCGAAGTCCTTGTAGCTTCAGCGTGGAAAGTTCATGTCAACAGTTCGAAAAAAGGGATTCTCGGAAAGAAAGTTACTTTAGGGTTCATGAGAGCTATTTCTGATATAAGGTTTATTTAGAGCTTGTGGACTCTTCTAATTTTCTAACCTTCTCCAACCTTAAAAAAAGCATAATCCATATTATACGCCTACGCGCAGATAACGCTCAACCAATAAAAATGCAAAGAATCGAATCAAGCAATTCTATTGGTAGATCGCCTCCCAAAGCAAGAATTGCGCCAAAATATCTTGAGCCACTTTCGAAAACCCAAAAGGTTATAAAAAGGAGAAAAGACAACTCCAGTCAGTCAGTCTAGCGAACTCGCCGACTGATCAATTGCCTAATTAATCCACGACATTCAAAAACAGAATTTTTACCGCGCATTTTGACGAACTTCAACTGACTCACCGACTTCAAAACAGAATTTTACCGCGCATTTTGACGAACACTCAACGAACAACTATCGAAACTTTGAACAATATTTCTTATGCACATTGATTTATTCATTACTAAAAATAAGAAATACGAATCACGAAAACAAACACAGACACGTTCAAAGGTAGACTACTTTAGCAAACTTTACCAAAAAACTCTTATTATATATTTTCAACACAAACACAAAATAACAAACATAACGACACAGAGACATCCAACATTTCAGCAACATATACAATTAACGCACGCAACAATACAAATATTAACCTTGTTTGTAAATATGTAATTGTATATAAATGTTTTATTTGTTTCGATCTATAAATGTCTCGTTTTTACTTTGTTTGAAATCTCATGTTTGTTATATATTTGTTTGGGACAAGGTTTAGACACACAACCGATCCGAACAAAATCCTTCTGATTAATTAAATGAACCAAAAGTCCCAACAAAATTTGGTGACCTTCCGACGTGAGTGAACATGCAACAAGAGTGACGAACTTGTTGACGTACTTCAGACCAACAAAATTGGTAACCTCGACGTTTTCAAGCAAACAACACCAACAAAATTGATAAACAGACGTGCGTAACAAAGATTGGTAACCCCGGTAACGGATAAAGTATTTCAACACTACAGATGGCAGAACCAACAACCGTATCAGAAACAGCCATCAAACTCGAGATGCCCGCCTTCAATGCAAATGTGCAAACGTGGTTCCTTCAGCTTGATGCGATATTCCAAGCTAGGCGCATAACTTCTCAGCAGTCAAAATTTGCAGCAGTCGTGGAGAAGCTACCGGCAGAAATAGCAGCCGAAGTAGCTGATATACTAACTTCAGTCCCAGTTGAAAAACCATACGAAATCCTAAAAGAAGCGATATTGCATAGATCAGGTTTTTCGGAGGAGAAAAGAATACGTGAACTCCTGTCCAATGTCACAACCGAAGATGCCAAACCTTCACAGTTACTTCGAAGGATGCAGCAGTTATTAGGCGAAAATGACATATCGACCACAGTATTCAAACAAATGTGGCTGGACAAGCTACCGCCAGAGGTTGTACGAATTCTAGCCGCATTAGCAGAAGATGTAGACATCCAGAAACTAGCGATAATTGCAGACAAAATAACAGACACAGCGCCAATTAAACACATATCCGCAACGAACACACGAGATGGCCTCATGCCAGACATAGACCGGCAAATTCAAAAGTTATCAACAGAGTTGCAAGATATATCTATACAGCTGCGCGAACTACAAAATGCCCATCTAAGCCGACATGATAATCAATATACCAAGCGAAATAAACAACGCTGGAGATCAAATTCTCGACACAGATACAAACGACAACGAAACGAATACCAAAATGAAAATGTTGGTATCATGAAACTTTTGGCGCGCAAGCTAACAAGTGCAGACAACCATGTGCGTATAAGAAATCACCAACCGCCAAACAGCAGGGAAACGGACATCCTGGCACCCAGTAGAGACGTTGGATGCCAGGCAACTCAAGACTAACCGTCTCTTCTATATTTACGATAAATCCAGCGGATTAAACTTTTTGGTAGACACCGGTGCCCAAATCAGTGTTATACCACAGACGAAGTGCAGCAAACAACTTCTAATAAAAACACAACATTAAAACTACAAGCCGCGAATGGCACGCCTATTGCTACTTATGGTGAAAAGACCCTGACTTTAGACATAGGTCTAAGGAGAGATCTAACGTGGACATTCATAATTGCTGATGTTTCGATGCCCATACTAGGAGCGGACTTCCTAACACATTATGCATTGTCAGTAGAACTAGCATCCCAAACACTAACTGACACCAATACAAATATAAAACGCTGCGGTTTCATCTCTAAACATTCAACGATTGGACTGACGAATATTATACCAATAGCTAATGGCTACGGTGAGATAATACGTCAGTATCAGACACTGTTAACACCGTCGTCACGAAATGAACCCGTTAGACATCATGCTAAACACAGCATTAAAACAACTGGTTCCCCAGTTTATTCCCAACCACGTAGGCTTCATCCCGCCAAATTGAAAATCGCAAGAGATGAGTTCGACAATATGCTCAGACTGGGAATAATACGCCCTTCAAAAAAGCCCTTATGCCAGCCCTCTACACATGGTTACAAAAGCAGATTCAGTCAGTTGGCGTCCATGCGGAGATTATAGGTTGTTGAACGCCCAGACCATTCGGACAAATATCCTATCCCGCACATAAAAGATTTTGCGCTATCATTAGAAGGTGCTACAGTCTTCACTAAACTAGACCTCAAAAAGGCTTACTATCAGATACCAATCGAGGAAGACGACATACAAAAGACTGCGATCACCACTCCATTCGGACTATTTGAATTCACAAGAATGCCCTTTGGTTTACGAAACGCCGCACAGTCATTCCAAAGATTAATAGACGAGGTGTTACGTGGTATGCCGTACACATACGCGTATATTGACGATGTTTTAATTGCAAGTAAATCACATGTTGAACACAAGGAACATTTGCATGCAGTTCTAAAACGTTTACAACATTATGGTTTAAAATTAAACATTGACAAATGTATATTTGCGGTACCACAGCTAACCTTTCTTGGACATGTAATAGACCAACAAGGATTGTCTCCCTTGGATCACAAGATCAAAGCAATAACAAATTATCCCACACCTTCCACAATGAAGCAATTACGGAGATTCTTAGGAATGATAAACTACTACCGACAATTCATACCGAACTGTGCAACTATAATATTGCCATTAACAGACATGCTATCGCAACGAAAGAAAAAGAACTCGCAAATCGTACTATCGAAAGACGAATTAAAATCTTTTAACGATGCAAAAGACGCGTTGCAAAAATGTACAAAATTGTCATATATTAATCCATCCGAAAATTCCAAACTAACACTCACGACAGATGCATCGGCTGACACAATTGGAGCAGTACTACACCAGATTACTAACAATGTAGAGAAACCACTATCATTTTTCTCGATAAAGTTAAACACTACCCAGAGGAAATATAGTACGTTCTCAAGAGAATTATTGGCAGTATACCTAGCAATACGACATTTTAGACACATTCTAGAAGGAAGAAATTTCGTAGTCTTCACCGACCATAAACCACTTACATATGCATTACATGCAAAAGGCTGACAAATTAAATCCACGAGACCTAAGACATTTAGATTACATCAGCCAGTACACAGCAGATATCCGATACGTAAAAGGTCAGAATAACACAGTAGCGGACGCATTGTCCAGAACTACGCTCAACGCACTACAATCACAACCACTAAACTTTGACACTCTCGCTGAGGAACAAGCAAACGACAACGAATTACCGTCTGTACAAAAGATACCTCACTTCAAATTGAAAAAAGACCTTTACCCTTTACTAATGAACTCGTGTATTGTGACGTTTCCACAGGTAATCCTCGACCGTACTTACCTTTGTCACGAAGAAAATCAATTTTCGATCATTTCCATTCACCAGCTCACCCTGGAGCGAAGGCTACGCTGCGGACCATAGCTGACAGATACGTCTGGCCCGGTATGTCTTCGGACGTGAAACAGTGGTCTCGCACGTGCCAACGTTGCCAGGCAACGAAAATACACTGACATACCAAAGCACCATCGTCGACCTTCGCGACACCAGATGGACGATTTACGCACATACACGCAGACTTAGTCGGTCCACTCGAAAAAATTAATGGACACGAGTACATTCTAACGATCATTGACCGCTTTACGCGATGGCCAGTTGCGATACCACTAACATCAATAACGGCAGAAACAGTGGCTAACGCAATTTTCAACAACTGGATTTCTATATTTGGATGCCCTGCAGTTATCACAACTGACAGAGGTCCCCAATTTCAATCAACGCTATTCAACGAATTTGTCAACATTTTAGGCATAAAACACATCTCTACCACCGCATACCACCCATGCAGCAACGGAATAGTGGAGAGATTCCATAGACAGCTCAAGTACGCATTAACAGCGTCTACCAGTGCTCGTACGTGGGTAGATAAGCTACCATTTGTGATGCTTGCGCTGCGAAATACAATAAAACTGGATCTCAAATGCACCAGTGCAGAATTAGTTTTTGGGAAAGCAACAACGCTGCCTGGACAGATATTTCACAACGAGACGACATCTACACCAACGAATTACTTTGTGGCAGACCTAAAAAAGAAGATGATGGACGTTATATATACACCCACGAGAGCGTATAAAAAACCTTTCTACGTGCCAGCAGATCTACATTCAGCAGAATATGTTTTCCTGAGGCGCGACACTGTACGGAAACCATTAACGCCCAACTACACAGGTCCACACCTGGTAATATCTAAAACACCCAAATTCTTCATAATTGATATCGCCGGTAAACAGAACACCGTCAGTATAGACCGTCTCAAACCAGCATATCTGCAATCCGACGACACAGATCGAACAATAACGAAACCGACGACAACAGAACAAACAGAAACGCAAACAACTACTGATACGACCGAATCAACACAGTCTACCCGTACAAAATCAGGAAGGAATGTTCACTGGCCAACCAAGTACCGAACCTACATTACATATTAATGCTCATTCACCAAGGCATTAATCTGGGGGAGGTATTGTGGACTCTTCTAATTTTCTAACCTTCTCCAACCTTAAAAAAGCATAATCCATATTATACGCCTACGCGCAGATAACGCTCAACCAATAAAAATGCAAAGAATCGAATCAAGCAATTCTATTGGTAGATCGCCTCCCAAAGCAAGAATTGCGCCAAAATATCTTGAGCCACTTTCGAAAACCCAAAAGGTTATAAAAGGAGAAAAGACAACCCCAGTCAGTCAGTCTAGCGAACTCGCCGATCGATTGCCTAATTAATCCACGACATTCAAAAACAGAATTTTACCGCGCATTTTTGACGAACTTCAACTGACTCACCTGAAACACTCAACGAACAACTATCGAAACTTTGAACAATATTTCTTATGCACATTGATTTATTCATTACTGAAAATAAGAAATACGAATCACGAAAAACAAACACAGACACGTTCAAAGGTAGACTACTTTAGCAAACTTTACCAAAAACTCTTATTATATATTTCAACACAAACACAAAATAACAAACATAACGACACAGAGACATCCAACATTTCAGCAACATATACAATTAACGCACGCAACAATACAAATATTAACCTTGTTTGTAAATATGTAATTGTATATAAATGTTTTATTTGTTTCGATCTATAAATGTCTCGTTTTTACTTTGTTTGAAATCTCATGTTTGTTATATATTTGTTTGGGACAAGGTTTAGACACACAACCGATCCGAACAAAATCCTTCTGATTAATTAAATGAACCAAAAGTCCCAACAAGCTGATACTGATACTGTCACTACACTTTTATTTAAACATGACACTCGTTAATTTGTTGCTTATTTATATAAATGAATGATTGACAAGTCTGTTTAAGAGTATTTTTACTGTTGAAATCAGTTAAAGCCTATTTCTGCTTTCATTCTGCTATTAGCTCTATTCACTAGAACTCTTATAAGTTTAGTTTTGTGAGTCATCAAAATGATTGTCCAGTGGAGTTTGCATTCATTCGCACCTAGTTTTTTTGGCATCACTATGTAAATAGATTTACCAGTATTTCACCGCTGTCGTATATATCATAGCTTATTATTTTGGTAAACTTATCAATCCCCAAATCATCTCAGGCCAATAGAAAATCTATTACAATCCCATCTGCCCCTGTTGATTTCTGTTCATGTTGGCCAATGCTGGTTTTACCTTAGATTTTAATATTGCGGGTCGTTCCATATTTTTATGCATTGTAAATTTCTCTCCTCTGCAGTTATAGAAGAGCTCGTCACATCTCTGTAGTATCTTTTCTTTTTCTGTTATGAGTGTTAACTTTGCAGATTTTACGCATCTTTTTGAATTTGTCCTACTAAACCAAATTTGAATTACATTGCAATAATAATAAAGATATAAGTGCTGTTACGGATTTCCTATTGATAATATAGTCTACTTCAGTTAACCAGCGAACCTGTCCATTTTCTCGGCATCATAATAATGGCAATTTAGAGAAACCCAATTTGAATCCCAAAGCTGCCTTATTATATTTATTGTAAATATTTGTATATTGAGACTCTTCAGCAAAGTTTAACAAAAATAAAAACCAAATACATGAAACTTGGATTTATGTTATCTTTTTTCTTGAGATTTTTAATTGGCATCTCTCCATGCAAGGTAGTATAGCCAATAAGACACAAGGGGTTACAGGGTGTGGAAGAATTAGAAACGGAAATGTTAATAGTGATCGGGAAGAGGAAAAAGTAATCAAGAAGAGAGTAGATTTAAATTTTCCAAGATTAAAGTTGGCTGGAAAGCATGGGTCTGGAAATGAATTCCACAAGTGAGAAAAAGAAACTAGACGGCTACATCTGGCCAGCTCAACCGTAAATTGATGAGATCTT